AAAATCCGAATTCAAGTATTTCACGGTCAAGGGGGAAGTAACTCTTGTACTACAGACATTTTTCAATACAGACAAAGTTGACTATGGACATCGGACAATTCACTCCGGGGATGTCTTTGTCACTGAAGAACAATCATCCCCACAATTCATTTAAAGACACTCCGCCTTGTGGGGATATCCCCACAATTCCAATTATCCCCACAATGTATGTTTGAACTTGTATTCATCCCCACAATGTAGCTCTCGTAAACCCGGATGGACCGACGGACGGACGGACGGACAAACCCAAATTAATATCCCCCACTTTTCAAGCGGGGGACAAAAAAATAGAAATGGAAATATTCTTAAAGATCTATCAGTATTACTAGTTGTACTTCTACCAGCTTCGACTAGAAGTTAGTGGTTACATGTTCTAAATTTTGTTAATTAATACAATTCTTGTCTTTTGGGAGTTTACTTAGGTACATTTCTCGTCCAAAATTGTTTTTGAAAAATCTGTAATTTAAACATTTAGATGAATTTGCTATGATCATATATATATGCCAGTCTTGTAAAAATTGATTTAACAATGTTTCTTTCACAGTAGATTTTAGCCATGTAATATGGGTACTACTAAACAAAGTACCCTAGAGTACGATAGAGTACTTAAGAGTACGCTAGAAAAATATTGTAATTTTAATGCAATTAAATTGTTTATTTATGTCTATACAACTTGATTAAACATTATTATAAACTAATATAAAACCGTTTAAAAAACAAAAATGATAGTTTATTTAACTTGCTTAAAAAATCATTTATCAGCAAAAGAATGCTTGCAAGAATATTATTGAGAAGCATCGTGACTATGCAGTGTATGACCTTGTGACTCCACAAGATGCACAGACTACCCTTAGTCCGAAAAACATATGTTTTCCTGGCACTTAAAATATCAAAATCGTGAAAAAGCCCTTCGGACTTTAGGGAATTTAATTTCGTGACCAACCCGTATTCATATCCCGATAGATGTTTAAAAATGGTACCTTATTTCTTAACTATAGCTGCCATGTAAACATGGTATTTAAAATATCAAAATCGTAAAAACATGAAAAAAGCCAGTAAAACGTCAGTTATTTTGGACTAAGTTGTGTAGAATCAGGGACCTATATACTAAGCAGAGGCGTAGTCACAAACTTAAAAGTGGGGGGGGCTCAAGTCCAGAAATTCTTTGAAAAGCAAAAAAAAAAAAAGTAAAGTTCCCCAAACTCGAAAATTCTATTTCGTGGGGGGGGTAGTGGCCAACTTTTTTTTCAAAGGCAATGTACTTTCAATTTCAATTTTTCTACACAATTTTATTACTATGTATTATCATTACCTCAAAATAGCTGTGATTTTGTTCTTCATTAAAAAGTGGGGGGGGCACAGACATACTCTTGCCCCCCCAGATCTGAAAGTGGGGGGGCTAGTGCCCCCGCTGCCCCCCCCCTGTGACTACGCCTATGCTAAGTTAGTATATAGGTCCCTGGTAGAATAATGGATTCGTGTTTGTTGGAGTCTTAACCATGCCGGCAAAAAGTTGATAAAAATGACACTTGTAAAAAAAGAATCCTTGAGCCCCAACCCCAAACCTCCCTGAATCCGCCACTGCGTTTTTATGGGAAACATCCCCCCCCCCCAAAAAAAAAACAAAAAAAAAACAACAAAACAGCACCCTATATAACAATGCATCACTTATTACATTAGCCTAGGCAGTGGCTGGTTCTTAAAAAATAACTAGAAGCAAATGAAACCGGGAACATACAATAGTACCCATCTCCTTTTCTTCTTTTTTAACATCGGGATCGTTGTTTTCAAAATATTTATTTGTACGTGGCTGATTGAAAAGTTACAGTCAATACAGACCCAGAGTGTCCAGACTGTCACTGAGACTCTGACAGTCTACAGAATTTGTTTTATCTACAAGTCATAATATTGACCCAATGGACCACGAAGGTATATATATTGTTGATCGAATATTTATATCTCTGCTAATATAATAAAAGAACACATCTAAGTAACGTTATCCCCAAGTGGTACTTGAACTTAAAGTACCCAAATTCAGTCTCCGTGAGGTCTGGTATAATCACTAGATTTAGGTACACAGGTTAATTTACCTACATAGCTTTATTTACCTACCTGAGGTAACTTTATTTAGCTACCAAATCAAACCATAAGCGGAAAACACCCCGGATTTCTCTTGAAATTATATTTTGATTTGTTTTTTGTTTGCTACATAAAGTCATAAACTTTTATTTAAGGATATTAGCTAAAGATTGCGATTACTGGGCTTATATATCAACACTAAATAGAAGTGTGTCACACCAGTGTACATTTTGTTTGATGTAGTATCAGTATATGGTATGTCATGCTAAACCTTTGTAATCTAAAAGCACTGGTCCATCGGACAAAACAGTTGAAAATCTTATTGGTCTGATGCACTAACAAGTAAACTGGTCCGTTCGTCCAAGATTTGATTTGGTTGGGCTTCAAATTTTATATTTTCTGTTTCATCATATAGACACTTTAACTAATACCAAAACGTATTGTTGATCGGTATTGTTTTAAAACCTACTTCCACCACGATATTTCTAAACTATTTCGATTGGACAGTACCAGGGAAAAAAAAGAAACATTTCATTAATTTTTTTAATGTGTAATTTGTTTATTGATTCATATGATATTTATAGGATCTCACATGATTTGTAGTTGGATATGATTTTTATCCAACGAGTTGTGTGTTTTACATCTCCGAGCCTTGGCGAGGGGATAAAACACAGATCAAAACAGCAATGTGTTCTATATACCTCTCCATTATTGTTGTCCAAAATCAAAAATACTGATATTCTAGGCTTAGGGGTGTGTTTTTTTTTCAGTCATATGATCTGAGAAGAAAAAGCTTTTGAAAATGATGGAAGAATCTTCTGATGAATCAACAGAAATAATCTCCAATGAGGAAGCTGAGTTAGCCAAGAAAATGCAAGAGAGCGCAGAACTTTCCAATACAGGTACAAATAATTGATCTATCATATCTCTTGGAAGATGAAAAGACCATTTTTGACAATTCTAGTTCAAGTACCATGGATCCCGCTTATTCCAATAGTAACTTTGTCAGCTTTCTGTTATCAGAATAGCAGAATATTCAAATAGCCGATTGCTGTATTTCGAGTCCAAACAAAGATGTAAAGAACTACATGTATTGACAATACAAATTTCAAACTTGCACTTTCATTTTCGTTTGATTACTTTACCAGGTGATTCTCCTAAAATAAAATGTTAAACTTACTTATCAATCAAATGTGATAACATTTTTCAAATAAAATTACTTATAAAAATTGTTTTTAGGTCACCTGAGTAACTCAGGTGACTTATTGCTATCCGTTTGTTAACATTTGAACATTTTCAACTTCTTCTCTGAAACCACCAAACCAATTTCAACCAAATTTGGTTGCATGTCCATCGTTTGTTAACATTTGCAATCTTTAAAAACATTTTCAAACTTCTTCTCTGAAACCACCAGGGCGGTGCTATATAGATTATATAGTGAAAATGCATTATTTCTTTAAAAACCAATTTCAACCAAATTTGGTATACAGAAAAGCCTAACATTTATTTTCTTAATTATACTTTACTTAATAATAACATCTCAATGGGTTTTTTGCATTTATTATAATACTAGATTTCATCACTTTTGGGCAGGGGAACATAAATTGTAATTTTTTAAATTTGCATTTGCGTCCCTCGAAAAGGAGCCCCCCTCGATACTACCATCATGAAATCAATGAAAAAAAAACAAAAACGACGGAAGTACTAGGTTTACCGCTTTACCCAACTAGAAATGTTTTACATGCCCAGGTATTTAGCCTGTCTTTATTTTTTTTAATGTTTTCTACCTAATTCTGTCCCATTTGTAAATTTAAAACATCACGCAAGACAATACTGGTTTCACTTTCATTTCCTATAGCCTCGATCTCGTGTAAAGAAAAAGTAGATTATATGCAATAATAAAGCTGATTAAATCAAAATCTTCTTCTTTACTCTTGGACATCACAGCTCTGGGCTCTATTGATTATATAGTGAAAATGCATTTATTCTTTGAAAATTTTCTTCTCTGCTTCTGGGTATTAAATAAAAACTGGTGGCAGTGCCTCTTCCAAAATTGTGATTTTGTCAGAGGTTCTGGTGTTAGGGCGGAGTTCTATTGATTAAATAGTGAAAATGCATTTATTATTAGAAAATCTTCTTCTCCCTTCTGGGTATTAAATAAACTAACAAAATTGATGAGCAAGATTCATGGCCCCAGGGTCAGGGATTTTAGTGCTAGGGAGGGGTTATATAGATTATACAGTGAAAATGCATTATTTCTTTGAAAATCTTTTTCTCTGCTCCTGGGAATTAAATAAACTATGTAAGTATATAGTTATAATGAGCAAGAGTGCCTCTTCCAAAATTGTGAATTTTATGGCCCCAGGGCCAGGGGTTCTGGTGTTAGGGTGGGGTTCTGTTGGTTATATAGTGAAAATGCATTTATTCTTTGAAAATCTTCTTCTCTGCTTCTGGGTATTAAATAAACTAACTAAGCACATAGTTATGATGAACAAGAGTGCCTCTTCCAAAATTGTGAATTTTATGGCCTCAGGCTCAGGGGTTTGGGTGTTAGGGTGGGGCTCTCTTGATTATATAGTGAAAATACATTAATTCTTTGAAAATCTTTTCCTTTGCTCCTGGGTTTTATGCCAATGATCCAAGTATATATATTTTTATGATGAAGAAAGGTACATCTACCAAAATGATTATTTTTTATGCCCCCCCCTCCTGGGTCATTGGGGGGGGGGGGGGGGTACATAGTCTGAAAATAAATTAATGCTTTGAAATCTGCTCTTTGGTATTAATCAACCATTTTATGATAAAATTTGCAAAATTTTGAAATATGTGGCCCCAGGGTCAGTGTTTCCTTTGGGGTGAGGTGCAAAACTGGTTATAAAGTGGAAGTGCATTTTCTCTAGGTATTAAGTAAATAGAGTAAGCATGCTAAGTTTATAATTATGATAAGCAATGCAGGTGCCTCTTTCAAAATTGTGAATTGTAAATTTCATGGCCTCTGGTTTAAAACACGAACCAAAGTTCATTGTTTGAAAATTGTTACACAATACTCAGGTGACCTATAAGGCCCTTGGACCTCTTGTTTAATAGTTATTGCCATCTTTAATCAGCATATATGTTTACATTCCTTCTTCGATGGCCGCCACTTTGGAAACTTTTAACCGCTATCCGATTAAGTGGAAGTCACTGTACTTTTGTGCCCTAAATTAATGAGAAATGCATGAATAAACATTTTTATGCCTCCTTCAAATAAAGGAGGGCAATTTGCTTTACTGCTGTCATTGGTCGGTCGGTCTATCTCTGTCTGTTGGTCCACCAACAGTTTCAATTCATTTTCTTCTCAGATGTATGTGCAACACATACTGAAATGTAATTTGGTATACAGATTTATAAAAATATTTAGGTCAAATTCGGTTTGGGATATGATCGAGCAAGGTTTAACAGAGTAAGCCCCCCCCCCCCCTTTGGAGTTTGGACTTAGAAAAATTCTAATTATTTGCAGTTTTCATTTCATTTTCTTTGCAGAGGTTGGGCATACTGAAATGAATAAGAATATCTAAGTCAAATTTTGTTTTGGATATGATCAAGTAATTTTTAACAGTTATGCTCTTAAGACTTTCCAAATTCCAAAAATTCTAATTATTTGGAGGTGGGGGGATAAGTGTTTCACAAATATCTTTTGTTTTAATCAGTATGTTTCATTGTACCAATCAATCTGGTGCAATTTCAGCTAAAAATACTTCAGTTGCAGGATTTGATGTACATTCTCTAGATGATTGATCTTTAAAGAATTTTAATTCAACTGAATCTCAACATCTTCTCAAAAACCAACTTAAGGGCCAATTTCAACCCAACTTGCCACAAAGCATTCTTGGGTGAAAGGGATTCAAATGCAAGGGTATAAAATTCAGAATGATTTAGAAATTTGGTGGCATTATTTAATAATCTTCTTTTCAAGAACCATTGGGCCAGAAAAGTTGAAACTTATTATATGAAACATTCAAAACATAGTGTCGGTTCAAGATTTGTTAATGACCCCCCAGACTGAAGTGAGGCCATAATGGGGGATCAAAATTTTACATGGGATTCTGTACTAGGAAAAAATCTTCCTCTCAAGAAAAACAAAACCATAACAAATCATATTATGAAAGCATCCTCAGTTAGTGTAGATTTAAATTTGTTTAAATCATGACCCCTAAGGTTAGGGTGATAGATCTGATAATAAAAATTTGTATAAAAAGGTTTTTGAAAGTCTTCTTCTCAAGAATATATAAATGGAGATGTGTATTGAATGGAGCATCCTCAGGCACTAAAGATATGAATTTTTTCAAATCAGGACCCTTGGGTAAGATAGGGCAACAATGGGGGATCAAAATTTTACAAAAAATATGTTGGAAAACTTTTTTAAAAACTACGGGTACCTTAGAAAAACAAAGCAAATATTAATCGTATTGATATGAAGCATTCACAGGTAGTGTAGATTCACATTTATTCGGATCATGATGCCCTGGTGAAGTGTGGGGCAACTATGAGGCATCAAAGTTCAACATAATTAGAAAGAAATATAGGTTTATTGATTATCTGATTGATTTTATATTCCATTTGAGAATTTGTATAGAATATGGTGGGGCTACAGATTTACATGAGAATAGATAGGTAAAGGAATCTGCTGATGAAGAAATGGCCCTTTGTTAAACAGTTAAAGGTATGGTAAATCAAAATATATATTGAAAATCCTTTTTCAGATACATCAACTACAAAGTTTGTTGCCAGTGTGTCAGCTCCTGCTCCACTGCCAGTATTTATGAGCATTCCTGAAGCCTCTCCATCAGGAACTACACAGCAGGTATACAAAACAAAACAATTTGTAGCAAGGTTGCTTAGTAGAACAAATCAGTACTATATAAAAGATCTTCATGGCATTAACTTAAAGTCAAAAACAAAACTATATATATATAGCAAGGTTGCTTAGTAGAGCAAATCAGTACTATATAAAAGATCTTGCATGGATCAACTATATAGTGAGTCAAAAACCAATCTATATATATATAGGGATAAAATAAATGTTTACGCAGCAATGTAAAATAATCATGAAACTTTTTTTGGGCATACAAATGTAAAACTAATTGACTTTTAGGATCTCTCTCTGAACCTTAAAATTTTGCAACCAAAATTTTAATTTGATACACAAAACAAAATAGAATACAACGAAAAGAATTGAAAATAGATTACATGAAGTTATAATTAATTATGTTAAAAAAATAAATTGTTCATTATATCAAAAGAAAAAAGTGGCAATGATACTGATGCTTGCTGTTGATTAATTTCTATATAGTGATGCGTCAAATAACTGAATCATCAGTTAATGGCAGGAAAATAAAATAAATGTAAATAAACAACAAAGCTGTAAAATTATCATGAAACTTTTTTAATGGGCATTTAAAAGGTAAAACTAATTGACTTTTAGTCTCTCTTTTAACCTTAAAATTTTACAACCAAAATTTTAATGTAAACATTGAAGCAAAGCCCCAGTACTGAATATACCATATACCACACCTGTGTTGTTTCTCATATATAACATGCAATCACTGTTCTGTTAACTCTAAAAAACTGTTTTACAAAAGAATGTATGGCCAAGACCCAAATTTTATTCTGTCTACTTTATAATTTACATTATATTGAAAATACTATTTATCTTTTCGAAAGAAATATAGGAAGATTTATATGCATGCAATTTCAAACAGAATCATTTATCAGGAACAATTTTATAATCCACTTTTAAAAGTTGCTGGTCTTGGTTACAGTTCCTTTGTAAAATAGGCCCCAGAACTTTACAGTCGAGTGAACAGGGATAGCAAACCTAGGGGTTGGTTACAGTCCACTCTCTAGGTTATGTATTGGTTACAGTCCACTCTGTGTTAGGTTATGTATTGGTTACAGTTCACTCTGTGTTAGATTATGTATTGGTTAAGGCCCACTCTCTGTAAGGTTATGTATTGGTTACAGTCCACTCTCTGTTAGGTTATGTATTGGTTACAGTCCACTCTCTGTTAGGTTATGTATTAGTTACAGTTCACTCTCTGTTAGGTTATGTATTGGTTACAGTCCACTCTGTGTTAGGTTATGTATTGGTTACTGTCCACTCTCTGTGAGGTTATGTATTGGTTACAGTCCACTCTGTGTTAGGTTATGTATTGGTTACTGTCCACTCTCTGTGAGGTTATGTATTGGTTAGTGTCCACTCTCTGTTAGGTTATGTATTGGTTACAGTCCACTCTGTGTTAGGTTATGTATTGGTTACAGTCCACTCTGTGTTAGGTTATGTATTGGTTACAGTCCACTCTCTAGGTTATGTATTGGTTACAGTCCACTCTGTGTTAGGTTATGTATTGGTTACAGTCCACTCTGTAGGTTATGTATTAGTTACAGTCCACTCTCTGTGAGGTTATGTATTGGTTACAATCCACTCTCTGTTAGGTTATGTATTGGTTAGTGTCCACTCTGTGTTAGGTTATGTATTGGTTTGAGTCCACTCTCTGTTAGGTTATGTATTGGTTTGAGTCCACTCTCTGTTAGGTTATGTATTGGTTACAGTCCACTCTCTGTTAGGTTATGTATTAGTTACAGTCCACTCTCTGTTAGATTATGTATTGGTTACAGTCCACTCTGTGTTAGGTTATGTATTGGTTACAGTCCACTCTCTGTGAGGTTATGTATTGGTTAGTGTCCACTCTCTGTTAGGTTATGTATTGAATACAGTCCACTCTCTGTTAGGTTATGTATTAGTTACAGTCCACTCTCTGTTAGGTTATGTATTAGTTACAGTCCACTCTCTGTTAGGTTATGTATTGGTTACAGTCCATTCTCTGTTAGGTTATGTATTGGTTAGTGTCCACTCTGTGTTAGGTTATGTATTTGTTACAGTCCACTTTGTGTTAGGTTATGTATTGGTTACAGCCCACTCTCTGTTAGGTTATGTATTGGTTACAGCCCACTCTCTGTTAGGTTATGTATGGTAGGAACTATATGTGAGTCATATGTCTCTTCTTTCTTTTAGAAATCAAAGGAATCCTCATCTCCAGCTTCTCCTCCTACACAAAGGTAAAACTGGATGTACCAAAACCTGCTGCTTAATCAGTATGTAGCAAAAAGATTCTAGTTTTGTAAGCTCAATCTTATTGTGAAAACCTAAAATGTCCTCAATATATTTATATACATGTACATGTATGTATGTGGGAAAAAATCAATGGACTGGTGCGGTTAGAGTAGTACATCAGTGAACTTTTATCCATATATTCAGTATCAACCATCAAAGTTTTACCCTGCATATTATTTACTGTGAACAAACTTGAAATTTTTATCTCGGAAAATAAAAAAATAATGTAGTTCAGGGATTAATCTAAGGCATATTTACTATTGATATTCAGTGTTTTTCCCCATCCCTGAAGATCTAATTTTCCCCTTTTGATTAGTAAAATATTCCCATTACAATAATAAAAACCTCAAACCTTTTTGTCACAATAAAAGATGATGTATGGATGATTTTCTAATAAACACTAAAGAAATGATTAGGACTGTAATCCATACGAAGACAAATTCAGGCCAGACTCTAAAAACTGAAAATTTGACGTATTAGAACCATTTCCTGGTTAGTTTGGACTTTCAGTAAGGCATGGCATTTTCGATGTTACATAATTAGCTTCTGAAATTTACACAGCTTTCCTCCACTGTTTAAATATACATGGGATAGAAATTCTGGCAAATACCAATTAGTGTATCAAATAACCAATAAAGTTGTCTCATCCGGCAAAGAGGTGGGGCTTAAGTCTTCTTAAGAAAGCTCAAATTTTTAACTTTTGAGATTGCTAAATTGTAGTGACAGATTTTTAATCCCACTTAGAATTTATTCTAAGCTTTCAAGTCAAGGTTGATCACAGAAGAAAGGTCATATAGATTATATCATTCCTAATTTGTGCATAAAGTTTGTTTTAAAACATCTTTTAAGTAAAAAATTCTAAAACCATGTGTTTTACAATATTTATTTTCTCATGGGGTTGTCTATATGCCATTATCTGATTGATCATGCAGAAAGATAAGCACCTTTTTAAAATATCTGAGTCACTTGGATAACCTATTTGCTATCCATGTCCATCCATTGTGCAGTGTGTGTTAACATTTAAGAAATAAACAACTTTATTCAGTGAACATGGCGTTATGAATACCAATTGCTCTGCTGGCATATTCCATGATTCGCGCTAACGCATCATAGAAAATATGCCAGCAGAGCTATTGCTATTCATAATGCCATGTTCATTGAATAATCGTTGGTTATTACTTATATTTGCATTCTTTGATGTTGTCAAGAGTATCAGGGGAAATCCTGGCTTACATAAGGTTGCAGCTTGTTGTCTTCAGTAAATAAAATCTCACAGCTATAAAATCAGTGTATCTGATCATTGTACCTTTTATCTAATAAATCACAAACAATTTAATCAAGTATTTGCCTTTTAAACACAGTTATCTGGATAAAAGCTGCGCCGTTGTCACATTCTCTTAATTTTTGTTTTGATGCAGTTGTGACCTCATCAATCAACGTTATTGAAACCCTATGACAAAAATCAATAATTTAACACTATGATGAAAGATTATAACTCCAGAATGCTTTATATGATTTTTTAAAGTTCTTATATTTATTTTTAGAGCCAAAATCCTTCTTGAAATAGATATACTATTAAAGAAATGTTGCTGTTTTAGATGTTAAAACGCCCAAGTGTGAAGAGTTATCGTTCTTTGTAGAAATATGCGAAAATATGATAAGAAAAAATTAAAATATGGCAATTCTCTTCAATTTTTATAAAGTTTTATTATACAATTAAAAACATTGACCAAAATAAAATTTTTAAAGATGTAAATCAGCAGTTTAAAATTATTCTGAATTTCTTTTTTTCCAGAGAATATTATTAAAAACCTATATGTATTCCTTTTTCATTTTTCATAACATTTCATATATATACTTCTCAACCATTCTGTATGTATAGTAGAGCTAGTGCTACACAATTGTGAAATAGCAATTGCTGTCATAGCAGAAGCAGTTGCTTCTATAGTCCTATGAGCGCAAATGATGACTACATGTTCATAGTGGGAGAAAGCAGTGGTTATGCAAATATTTTCTGATCACGTTTTGTCCGTCCGTCTGTCTAGCTGTCCGTCTGTCTGTCCGTCTGTAAACTTTTCACATTTTCGACTTCTTCTGAAGAACCACTGGGCCAATTTTGACCAAACTTAGTGCAAAGCATCCTTGAAGGGGAATTTAAATTGTGAAAATGAAGGGCCAAGTCCCCTCACAAGGGGAGATAATCAAGAAAAGACAAAAATAGGGTGAGGTCATTAAAATCTTCTTCTCAAGAACCACTGGGCCAGAAAAGCTGAAACTTATGTGGAAGCATCCTGGGGTAGTGTAGATTCTAAATTGTTCAAATCATGACCCCCGGGGATAGGGCGGGGCCACAATGGGGAATCAAAGTTTTATATAGAAATATATAGGAAAAATCTTTAAAAATCTTCTTCTCAAGAACCACTGGGCCAGAAAAGCTGAAACTTATGTGGAAGCATCCTTAGGTAGTGCAGATTCTAAATTGTTCAAATCATGACCCCCAGGGATAGGGTAGGGCCACAAAAGGGAATCAAAGTTTTACATAGAAATATATAGGAAAAATCTTTAAAAATCTTCCTCTCAAGAACCACTGGGCCAGAAAAGCTGAAACTTATGTGGAAGCATCCTTAGGTAGTGCAGATTCTAAATTGTTCAAATCATGACCCCCGGGGATAGGGCGGGGCCACAATGGGGAATCAAAGTTTTACATAAAGATATATGGGAAAAATCTTTGAAAATCTTCTACTCAAGAACCACTGGGCCAGAAAAGCTGAAACTTATGTGGAAGCAACCCAGGGTAGTGTAGATTCTAAATTGTTAAAGTCATAACCCCCTGGGCTTGGCGGGGCCATAATGGGGAATCAAAGTTTTACATAGAAATATATAGGAAAAATCTTTGAAAATCTTCTTCTCAAGAACCACTGAGCCAGAAAAGCTGAAACTTATGTGGAAGCATCCCGGGGTAGTGTAGATTCTAAATTGTTCTAATCATGACCCCCAGGGGTAGGACAGGGCCACAATGGGGAATCAAAGTTTAACAATGTTGAATCAAAGCATCCTATGGTAGTATAGATTTCAAATCATTTAAATTATGATCAGTGGGGTAAGTTGGGGTCACAATATGTATTACAAGGAGGAAATCTGGTATAGAACGGAATGTTCAAAGCTTCTCAGGTGAGCGATGTGGCCCATGGGCCTCTTGTTGAATATTTTCAGCTTCTTCTCTGAAACCACAGAACCAATAGCAGTCAATTTTAGCATATGGCCTCTATCAGTAAAGGGGAACAAAAAAATATATAAATTTCATGGTCCCTGCCCCCATGGGGCCTGAGGGGTGAGGCTTTAACCATCCAAATTAATTCTATCTTTAAAAATCTTCTTCTTTACATACATAGCTATGATGAGCAATAAGGTAATATAAGGTAAGACAGACAGACGTCGGGTAAAGTCCCTTAGTGCAGCTCTGCCTGCTGGCAACACAATTACAGTTGAACTTCAATATCCCAAACTCTGATATCTCGAATACAATGGATATGTTGAAGAGATGTGGAAGAATGTGGAAGTCGGATATCTCGAATACCATATGTCAAAGTGGAATATCATGAATATGTCAAAGTGATGTATAAATCCCAATTACATATTCCCAAAGTATTTTACCCTCTATATCTCGAATTCTTGAATATCCCAAAGTTTGTTCTCAGCCCCATCAAGTTCGAGATAATGAATGACTGTATATTGCACCAGTCCGTGTAGTTTTTGATAACCTTATGTGTATTTGCATGTTATTGTCATTTTATAGAGAAATACCTGTATCTCCTCCAACGTCAAATGAACAACAATCCAGTCTGACTGTCAAACCCAGTGTAGCAGCCCCAGGTAAAGTCTGACAAATATGTTTGGTGGCGGGACAGGAGTAAGGAATTACTGTCTAGTTAGTAGAGTATGCCAGGGCATAAGACCTTATGCGCGATGTTGGTGACGTTTGACATGACATTTTCATAGCGCTACGGAAAAATTGACGTAACTCTTCTACAGTGTAATTTAGTGTTACTAGATTGATTAGTACCCTATCGCTATATCAAATGGGTAAAAAAAAAATAGAGTTTACCTGAAAAATAAACTAATCAACAAAAAGGATGCTTCCGTTTTGTATCTGCTAATTACTAGAAGCACTCTTTAGCACATTTTCGTGCACTATGTTACTCAAAACTAAATACCTGTTTAGAAAGTCAACTGGACAATAATGTTGAACCTACTAAATGTTGCATAAAATATTAATTAACAGAGTAGATTTATAAATCTGATGTTTTATTTGATTGGTTGGATTAGCACAAAATGAATATATAATATTTTTTGTAATCTATGAAAATAAAAAATAAAAATTTAACTCCACAAAAAATGGCATGCTCATTTTTAGCTCTTCTGAGCCAAAGGCTCAAAGAGCTCATGCTATGGCCATTTGTGCGGTGTGCGTCGTGCGGTGTGCGTTAACTTTTTAGAATATGGGCCATAACCCCTTCGCCAATCATTGTCAAAACCCCTTGGCCAATCATTGTCAAATTTGTTACAGGGTATCCTTGGCCCAAGGGCTACCATTTATACTAAAACTAAAATTTACATTCAATAAAAACATTTATATTTTGCTTACTATAAAGACTAGGATCATCAAATCTTGTAAGTTGATGCATCTTAGGACTTTACATCATGTTAACACAAAAGTAGGTCACCGTGACCTACTTTTTAAATTTTATGGGCTTTTGTTTTCAAATTGATTTGGAGGCATATTTTGGACACTTTAAGGCCTATGATCATCAAACGTCAGTTGATGCATCTTGGGTCCTTAAACAAGGTCAACTTCAAAGTAGGTCACTGTGACCTACTTTTTGAATTTTATGGCTCATCTTTTCTAAAACATTTAATCCCATTATTTCAGATACTGAGAGGTTTAGATTCACCAAATCTTGTAAGTTGATGCATCTTGAGGCCTTAAAACATATTTATGAAAAAGTAGGTCACTGTGACCTACTTTTTGAATTTTGCAGGCATTTGTTTTCAAATTGTTTAAAAGGCATAATTTGAATACTTTCAGACCTATGATCATCAAACTTTGTCAGTTGTTGCATCTTGGGTCTTCGGAAAAAGTCAACAAAAACTTAGGTCACGGTGACCTACTTTTGACATTTCTTGGCCTATATTTAAGTATCTTAGGTACTTTTTGGCTTATAATCATCAAACTTTGTCAGTTGATACAACTTGGGTTTTCGGAGAATGTCGACCAAAAAGTAGGTCACTGTGACCTAGTTTTGACATTTTATGGCTATATTTCAGTATCTCAGGTACTTTTTGGCTTAGAATCATCAAACTTTGTCAGTTGATGCATCTTTGGTTTTCGGAACATGTCGACCAAAAAGTAGGTCACTGTGACCTAGATTTGAATTTTATGGCTATACATAAGTATCCTGGGTACTAATTGGCCTAGAATTGTCAAACGTTGTCAGTTGAGTCATCTTGGGTTTTCGGAGAATGTCACAATGACCTACTTTTGATTATCTCAGGTACTTATTGGCTTAGAATCATGAAACATTGTCAGTTGATGCATCTTGGGCCCTCTGAAAATGTTGACCAAAAGGCAGATCATGGTGACCTACTTTTGACATTTTATGGTTATATTTAAGTATCTTAGGTACTTTTTGGCTTAGAATTATCAAAACTTTGTCATTTGATGCAACTTGGTTTTTCGGAGAATGTTGACCAAAAAGTAGGTCACCTTGACCTACCGTAGTTTCGACATTTTATGGTTATATCTTAGGTACTATTTGGCTTAGAATTATCAAACGTCAGTTGAGGCATCTTGGGTTTTCGGAGAATGTCGATCAAAAAGTAGGTCACAGTGACCTACTTTTAATTATCTCAGATACTTATTGGCTTAGAATCATCAAACATTGTCAGTTGATGCATCTTGGGTCCTCGGAAAATGTCGACCAAAAAGTAAGTCACGGTGACCTATTTTTTACATTTTATTACTTTATCTAAATATCTTTGGTACTTATTGGCTTAGAATCTCAAACTCTGATAGTTGATGCATCTTTGGTCCTCGGAGAATGTCAACCATAAGAAGGTCACAGTGACCTACTTTAATATTTGAGGTACTTATTGGCTTAGAACCATCAATCTTTGTCAATTAATGCATCTTGAGTCCTCAGAAAGTTTCAAATCAAAAAGTAGGTCACCATGTCCTACTTATGGTATTTTATAGCTGTACTGAAATATCTTCAGTCCTAACTGGCAAAGAATCATTAAACTTTGTCAGTTCATGCATCTTAGGATACTTAGAGTAAGAGGCTTCAAATAGAAGTGATAGATTGTACAATTTATCAGAAGAGCGATTCAAGGCCCTTGGGCCTCTTGTTTGAACACCATTTAAGAAGCCGGACATTTCTGTTGAACTTGTAATCCATCCATTAGCTACAGAGCATGCAGTGTGATATCAAAATTAATGAAATATTTCAAAGGAATAAGAAAAGCACATTTTTTCAATACTGTAACAATTTATTTCTGTTTAAAATTTCTTGTAAAAGATTAAGTTTAATGCTTAAATCCATATGCACATTTTTAGCTCACCTGAGCCAAGTGAGCTTTTCTGATCAAATTTTGTCCATCGTCCGTCCATCTGTAAACTTTTCACATTTTTGACTTCTTCTCAAGAACCACAGGGCCAATTTTAACCAAACTTGGTACAAAGCATCCTTTGATAAAGGGGAGTTTAAATTGTTGAAATGAAGGGCCAAAACCCCTCACAAGGGGAGATAATCAAGAAAAGACACAAATAGGGTGGGGTCATTAAAAAATCTTAAGAACCACTGGGCCAGAAAAGTTGAAACTTATGTGGAAGCATCCTGGGGTAGTATACATTCTAAATTGTTCAAATCATGACCCCTGCAGGGGGTTTGGCAGGCCACGGTAGGGAATCAAAGTTTTACAAAGAAATATATAGGATAAAACTTTTAAATCCTTCTCCTCAAGAACCACTTGGCCAGAAAGCTGAAACTTAAAATCATGACCCCCAGGGGTAGGATGGGGCCACAATAGGGTATCAAAGTTTTACATAATATTTAGGATAAAAGATTTTTGAAATTCTCATCAAGAACCACTGGACAAGAAAAACTGAAACTTATGTGGAAGCATCCTTGGATAGTATAGATTCTACATTGTTCAATCATGACCCCGGGTGTAGGGCGGGGCCACAACAGGGAATCCAAGTTTTACATTAAAATGTATAGGAATTTTTTTTTTCAATTTTCGTTTCAAGAAGAACTGGGCCAGAAAAGCTGAAACTTGTGTAAAAGCATCTTTGGGTAGTGTAGATTTCAAATTGTTAAAATCATGACCCCCACGGGTAGGGTGGGGCTACAGTAGGGAATGAAAGTTTTATATTGAAATATTTAGGATAAAACTTTTTAAAAATTCTCCTCAAGAACCACCGGGCAAGAAAAACTGAAAATTATATATGCTGAAGCTTCCTTGGGTAGTGTAGATTCTACATTGTTCAAATCATGACTCCGGGTGTAGGGAGGGACCACAATAGGGAACCCAAGTTTTACATTAAAATATTTAGGAAAAATCTTCTTCTCAGGAACTACTGGGCCAGAAAAGTTAAAACTTATGCGAAAGCATGGTGGGGTAGTTTGTCCAAATTATGACCCGTGGGGTAAAGGATGGGGTCATATGTATTACAAAGGGGAAATCTGGTAAAGAACAGCATGGTCAAAGCTACTCAGGTGAGCGATGTGGCCCATGGGCCGCTTGTTAATAAATAGTGTTACAGATTTTTCATCTGTGAAAACTATTGCTACCTCTTATTTGTGCTGTAAAAATCCAATTTTCCCAATAGATGTAGTTTAACTTTATTTTCCCAATTACTTATTCATTATGTATTTTAACCTATATCTAGAATCATCTGATATCTCGAAAATTTACCTTGGTCCCATCAAGTTTGAGACAAGATTTGACTGTACAGTGCATATTTTTACCCAGAAAGATCAGGGTGATATGAATAGGTCTGTGGAGGTGGGGGTTAAGTGTTAATAAATATAGAAATAAATAGGTTAAAAAATCTTTTGAAACCTATATTTTACAGAACATCATAAAGTTATACTGATATGAAAGTGTGTTCAGGTAGTGATTAAAATTTGTTCAAATCATGAAACCGATGGTAGGATGGGGCTACAACTATTAAAAAAAAATGCATGTCATTTCGGGGATAGGGTGGGGTCACAACATGAATCAAAGCTGTCAATGAAGAAAAGCAGGGTCAAAGAGACTCAGGTGAGCCTTGAGGCCCATAGGCTTATTTACGATTGCTATAAGAATGCAAAGAAGAACAACACATGAGCCAATCAGATATATTATTAGCTCACCTGAGCCGAAGGCTCAAGTGAGCTTTTCTGATCAAAATTTGTCCGTTGTCTGTCGTCGTTGTCGTTGTTGTTGTCGTTGTCGTTGTTGTAAACTTTTCACATTTTCATCTTCTTCTCAAGAACCACTGGGCCAATTTCAACCAAACTTAATACAAAGTATCCTTGGGTGAAGGGGATTCAAGTTTGTTCAAATGAAGGGCCAGGCCCTTTTCCAAGGGGAGATAATTATGAATTAGAGAAAAATAAATGGCATTATAAAAAAAATTTCTTCTCAAGAACCACTGGGCCAGGAAAGATGAAACTCATGTGGAATCATCCTCAGGTAGTGTAGATTCAAGTTTGTTCAAATTATGACCCCCGGGGGTAGGGTGGGGCCAAAATGGCTGATCAAAGTTTTACATAGGAATATATAGGAAAAATCTTTAAAAATCTTCTTCTCAAGAACCACTGGGCCAGGAAAGATGAAACTCATGTGGAATCATCCTCAGGTAG